AAGCCGCTCGAAAGAGACTGGAGACATTCACAAGAAGGAGCAAACCGCTCGAAAGAGACTAAAGCATTTCAGAAGAAAGCAAGCCGCTCGAAAGAGACTAGAGCATTTCAGGAGAAGGAGCAAACCGCTCGAAAAAAGACTAGAGAATTTCAGAAGAAGGAGCGAACATTTCGAAAGAGACTAGAGAATTTCAGACGAAGGAGCAAACCGCTCGAAAGAGACTAGAGAATTTCAGAAGAAGGAGCAAGCCGCTCGAAAAGACTGGAGAAATTCAGAAGAAGGAGCAAACCGCTCGAAAGAGACTAGACAACTTCAGAAGAAGAGCAGAGCGCTCGAAGGAGGCTAGAGAGTTTCAGAACAAGGGGCAAACCGCTCGAAAGAGACTAGACAACTTCAGAAGAAGGAGCAAACCGCTCGAAAGAGACTAGAGAATTCCAGGAGCAGGAGCAAGCCGTTCGAAAGAGACTAGAGAATTTCAGAAGAAGGAGCAAACCGCTCGAAAAAGACTTGAGCATTTCGGAAGAAGGAGCAAACCGCTCGAAAAGACTGGAGAAATTCAGAAGAAGGAGCAAACCGCTCGAAAGAGACTAGACAACTTCAGAAGAAGAGCAGAGCGCTCGAAGGAGGCTAGAGAGTTTCAGAACAAGGAGCAAACCGCTCGAAGGAGACTAGAGAATTTCAGAAGAAGGAGCAAACCGCTCGAAGGAGACTAGAGAATTTCAGAAGAAGGAGCAAACCGCTCGAAAGAGACTAGAGAATTCCAGGAGCAGGAGCAAGCCGCTCGAAAGAGACTAGAGAATTTCAGAAGAAGGAGCAAACCGCTCGAAAAAGACTTGGGCATTTCAGAAGAAGGAGCAAACCGCTCGAAAGAGGCTAGAGAGTTTCAGAAGAAGGAGCGAACCGCTCGAAAGAGACTAGAGAATGTCAGAAGAAGGAGCAAACCGCTCGAAAGAGACTAGAGAATTTCAGAAAAAGAATCAGACCGCTCGAAAGAGTCTAGAGAATTGCAGAAGAAGGACCAAACCGCTCGAAGGAGACTAGAGAGTTTCAGAAGAAGGAGCAAACCGCTCGAAAGAGACCAAAGAATTTCAGAAAGACGAGCAAACCGCTCGAAAGCAACTAGAGAATTTCAGAAGAAGGAGCAAACCGCTCGAAAGAGACTAGGAGCAAAAAGAGCAAGAACCCACAAAAATTGATTAAGTTCGGAAGACCCGGAAACCGTGTCCCCGTTTAATTGAACCTACAACTGGCAGAACGATGCCTCAACATGCCCCTGTGTGTCGTGCGCGCTGTGAACGACATTGGGGTTTTTCCAGAGCAGCTCGAATGCGGGATGGCGTCGGCGCAAAGATTAAGCAGCCGGATGTGTCGGAGCCAGAGCATGCGCATTGCCGACGTTGGGAGCAGGCGCTTATCATTCAGCGGAGCTGCGGTGTGGCCGAAGCCATCACATGGAGAAAGATTATCTGCGGGACACGCTTGCCACCGCGACTTTTCTTGGCGAGGCGCCGGGAGAACACGACATCTTCGCTCGTGGAGTCGTGCTCACGAAGGCTTCCCTTCCAAGGCTGAATGGGAGGCGATGTAACCAGACGCACCGAAGAAGACCCAGAACGAAGAGTTGTGACAGACTGCGCTGACGAGCTGACCAACCCTGTTCCGTGGAGGCCGAAACTTCAGACAACAAGACCAAGAACGGGACAGGACCGTCCTGATGCCCAGGCAGTGTTGCTCGGTGGGGGTGCGGCTTCCCGCCCCCCCCTTCCAAATTCACAAAGCATTTGTGAGCGTCTGTGTCAAGTTTGAGCCCACAGCCGGATGATAATGGGTGCCTGTGGGCCTCTGAGGAGCAGACAACAAGGTGAGCGAGACAGAGAAGGCTGGGGGACAGAGCCAGATGCTCCAAACACTTCTCGACCATGTGTTGTGCGAAGCATGGCTGAAGTTTGACTGAGGGGGGCTCAAGCACTCTGCAGGCCCCCGCAACGGTGGAGGTCTGAGTCCGGGCTGGACCCCCAGCTTCTGATTCTGTTTTTTCACCCAATCCTGTGAGATTGACCAGGTTGAGCAGAAACGATGTTGTGCCACGGCAGTCCAAGCTGCGACGACCTGCAACAAAAATAATCTGCCAGCAAGGCGTCCCGGCTTGGCAGCGCCTGACAGCGAGACAGCCGTGCAAGTAGCCTTTTCAGTTCCACAGCATTTCAAGATGCAACCACCCGAGTCAGTAAGTAGCATCGTTAGGACATGGATCAGCTGACGCAACTGAGCATGGGCAGAATGCTAGCAGTCGAGTAATTATGAATTCAATGCCTAAAGTGGAGGCTGGATGCATGACGCGTGAAAAAGAGTCTGAGATCGTGTTTCGGATCCGGAGCTAGTCTGCATACATTGAAACTTGCCATCAACTGGTCAGCATGTGCTCTCTGCAGTTTGGCTTCAAACCCAGTCATTCACAGCGGCAGTTCCTGTTCACTTAACATCTGGAGGCTCTACATTCGCTATACGCACGCATACCTCTACGCCGAACAGTGCGCGCCCAGCTTGGGCTGCTGAGCACTCTTTTTCAGGTTTCAAAGCAGATGGTGAAACAGATTCAAGATCTGCGTGTCAGTAGCTGGCACTTGCCCTAGCTTCGCTCTCATGGCGGAGCAAGGCCAGATTGCAGGCGGCGAACATGGAGTCAAAGGCAGACGGGTTAGCAGGTGCAAACCTGGGGCTTGCCGCGCTCAGCGTGGCCTTCCTCTTTGGCATCCTTGGACTGCCAGGAACCCGACACAGGGGCCAGAACATTTCTGCACTTCTTGAGAAGCTGCCAAGGTTTGCCTTTTTCGCCTTGCGCGCGAAAACCGCTGCCGAAGAGGCCAGCATGCTCGCATCTCCTCCGACCCTCGGGAGCTTCGAGTGGGCTGCATGCAGGAGGAAAAGCAGGAAAAGCAGCAGCTCGGGACTCACAGCAGTCGCGTCGCGGTAAGATTTGAGAGCCGGGCTGGCCGGTTTATCTGGTCTCAAATCTCTCTCCTTAACTTCTAATCCGGGTAAGATGAGTATGTGAAGCCTGTTTAGAGCGTTTCCACAGAGCAATTCAGGCCTGTGCCAGTCGAGCAGTCGAAGGAGCGCAAAGCACCCCTTCAGGGTTTCTTTTTCCTTGCCAAGGCAAGCTGCCGGAGGTCAGAGGCCAGGGCTTGAATGTTCCTGCAATGCGAACCGACCTTTTGGGCCTTCCGTAGCTGCACAAAATCTCGGCGTCAAACGGAGCTCCTGCTAAGAGCTGCGGGAGGCGACGTGGTGGGCTGGATCGCATGCAGCGCGGTACCTCGCTCAGAGAGACGCAGCCCCTATGCTGCCGTGCCAGGACATTCCAGGCCCGGCAGCTGCCGGCACTGCGGCTAAGACTTGCCGATAGCATGCGCATGCGCTGGGAGAAGTAGTTTTTGCTGCTAGGCTTGGCATCCACGGCTGATCGGCAAAACGGGTTGGTTTGTGAAGCCAGAAGAAGCCCCTGACTCCTTGCGAGAAAGAAATGATTGGAGCCGCAGACACGAAACGAGCTGAGATCTGAAAGGACGCAGCCTGACCCTTGTCGATCGCTTTGGCAAGACGCGGGCTCCCTGGGCTTAGGTGCGGCACGTGCTGCTGGCGGTGGAGAAGCCGACGAAGCAGAGGGCTTGGATGAGGGGTCGTGTCTCACTGTGCCACTGCCAGTCAAACCTGAGGATGAACCGGAGAACCAGGCCGGCAACAAGAAAACGAATGCCGCCAAAGAGCAAAAGAAGCAGGTACCCCGAGTGCGACGGCTCCACATGAATGCCACGAGGAAATCGTTAACTTCCAATCTGCTGTAGAATTCGAGACGACAATCACCTGCAGCACAGGAGAAAAGAGCACAGCAGCAAGCAGAAAGAGAGGCCACGACGTTGGCATGCATGCTGGTAATTCGTCCGGCTTTGATTTGGGATTGCTGATTTCGTGAGGCCTATCAACAGAAGCAGGACAAGAAAGCACAGTGCTCTGGACGACTCGAGTTTTCTAAAGAGGATGATGCCATCCCATCAGCTCCAGGTATTCGCAGAAGCAGCAGGCCCGCGAGGCGGAGCGGTTGCGGCGAGATGCGGAGGACGAGCAGGATCGGACGTGGGATCGTTAGAGGTCGCTGGTCCCACGTCCTCGTCTTGGTCATGTGCAGGCCAGGAAAGAAAAAGAGAAACAGGAGAAGGAAGAACTCGACAAGCAAGCCTCCAAGTGCTGCTGATGCTGCAACCTATGGCAAAAGTAGCGTCATTGTCCACCTTTTCAACAGGAGAGTTCCACACGCACCCACACACACACACACACACGCATGAATGGTTATGTATGTATGTACACTTAAGCTTTATGTTTGTATGTATGTCTGTATGTATGTACGTCCCAAGACCTACCTCGAAGCATCTTCTCCATAAACCTACACTTGCAAACCTGTGCATCAATATTTACAACATTTCCATGCATGTGCATTTCGCAGTGCAAGACATGAGCATGTATATGTTATTACAGCGCACACAGACCACCAACCAATCAACAAAAATATAACCAATTTGATTTTCTGTGCTTTGAACTTTGATCAGTTTTGATTTCACGGAAAAATTCAGCAATGATCAATGTTCAATGCACAGAACAATTCCTCCACCCTCCGCCGCATGAGACGGCACACGGCGAGACCGACAACCTCTTCGTGGACGCCGACAGCCCTGCCAATCATCAAAACTGGCGATGGTTGGTTGGCCCTGCAAAAGTATGATCTTTGGCAAACGAAAGTCCGATAAAGAACGCTGGTTCTCCAAGACCCGCCGTAACCCAAACAGAAGGGAAGGGGGCGGATTCTTGACAAGTAATTCTCGACACGCGCGATTCCAAACTTCACCCCTTCAGGCCGTTCCAGTCTCCATATATATATATATATATGTATATATATATATAACAGACGGACACACATACATACATACATGCATGCATGCATGCATGCATGCATGCATGCATGCATGCATGCATGCATACACCCACACACGTGCTGCCCATGTGTCAAGATTATCAGCTCCGACACAATCCGCATAAACGTCTTGCACACAGGGCATGCCATTCTGAGACGAATCAACCTGCCAGAGTTGGCCCGTGGTTCTACTGTACTTGTGCTGCCAACTGAAGAATCGTACACAAGAAGGTTTACTCGCAGATGTTCTGAACGGATTGGTAACTGAGGTGGAAGGAGATGTTTGCGGTGGAGTATGAGGGCGAGGACAGCACGAGACGCCAAAAGCATGTTTCAGGGTCTGCAGGCTTGGATCATCGAAGGCATGTGGTGCAGACCTAGATTCTATGGCCTAGCAGGATGATGCTGCCACAGCTGGAGAGTCAGCCGCGGGCTCACCGTAATTTCGGAATGCAAAAGAGCTTCACTCTTGTCAAGCCAGACCCGTGACACGGCGATCTGGTATGCTTGAAGCTAGCCTAAGAGCGAGCCTGCCGGAAGCAGCAACCCCATCTGAAGGGTTCGTTTCTCTCGCTCGAATCACGCTCACAAGAAGGGCGTGGTGCGCTGTTCCCTTTGTAAGTCTTGTCACCTTGCCGCATGTTCGTGCCTGTCGCATTCGTTGCGATTTCAAATTCACACCGAGCCTGAGCGCCCCTGAGTACATTAGCTATGGATTGCACGGGTTCCGCTGAAGTAGAAGAGCACCGCGCCGAACTCTGCAAAAGGCCTGCCATGCATGGAAATCACACGGCACAGGCATTTCAAGCACTCCGTGCACAACAGAGGAATGAGCATCAGCAAGCGACAGCTGTACCCAAGACTCTAGGGAACTTCTAAGACTTGGCACTAAGGCGTTGGAGCAGTGCCCTTGCTGCAATAGGTCTCGACTTGGTTTCGACCGCTCAATTCACGTGGAGCTGTCATTGTTCATGGTCAAGACAACAGCTCAGATATGGAAGTTGTGAAAATTATGATGGTTGGTGCTTGCCCAGGTTCATTGAGTATGTCAAGCTTCGAAAAGTGGTGAACCTGGAGGCCTCGAAGCGTCTTCGGAGCAGCTCCTGGGTCGAGCTTCGGCATCCTCGGGTTTGCCACAGTCTCCAGGACCTGGCTGCCGAATTCCGCATGAGGACTGTTACTGCCATCCACCGGAGACTTGGCCAAACCGGTTGCAGCGTCTCATTCGGAGAAATTCTTCGAATGTCAGCTCAGGCTCGAAGAGCTCGAAAAGATGGGCGCGATGCTTGGAAAAAGCATGCAGGAATCCAGACCACCGGCAAAGCCAGAAGACAAAGAGCCACCGGCATGGCCAGTGCAAATCCAGCACCCGAGGCAGTTGCAGAACTGGTGATTGAACCCCATGAATCTGGCAGAGGATAAAGCCCACGCGAGAAAGACCGTGCCCCAAAGTCAGTCCAAACGTGAGAAGGTTGGTAAGCCTAGGTGTCTCTGTGTGGATGAATGAACCTTGAGGTCGATTAAGTGGAATTTTCGACGACCGTGGCAAGTACATCTACATCACAGCAGAGGCGGTATTGCAAACACTGCGGAGCCTCATGCTTAAGTGGACCGCATCCCGTGCTGAAGACGTCGTAGCCAGTTCTAAACCCTAGACCCGGATGTACCATAAGGGGAACAGTCTCACAACAGGTCATTCTTTCTATACGATGCCAGCGTTTTAAAGTGTCGTGCTGCTGATTGCAGGGGGCCATGAGGGTCGAGCGCTAGACTCTGCTTGAATTCGGCCTGGATCGCAGGAAATGGGTGAAGTTGCAGCCTGGCTCAAGCGCAAGGGCCGCGTAAACCGCGCAGTGCCTGAGCCACGTGTTTTCTGAGTCCTTCCTTGGCTTTTGGGTCAGGGACAGGCTTCACGGAAGGCGTTGACTTGCCAGGAGTTGGTCGCCGGCTGCAACAAGCTCATCCGACTTGATCCCACGGCAGAGGACAAGGTGGGTCGTCAGGTCTTCTGAATTTTGTTATTCATCAGCTTAAGTCTTGCAAGACTCGATGTTAGTTTGTGCAAAGGCGAAGCTCGAAGCAGAGGTGAGGACGGCAGAAGAGAAGCTGGAAGGCCTGAGGGTTCGGCTACCGTGTGGGGTCGGAATCGCAAGGGACAGCCTTGAATATCTTGGTTTTTCATACGCTTCCGCAAGCTTGTGCACGTTCCTGTCTTGTAGTAGCTTGCAGCAATTCAATTTGGCTCAGCTCGTCCCTCCGCACAATTGGACTCGACTGCGATGCGTTTGACACCGAGCATCCGGTCCCTGTCAGGCGATGAAGGGGCTCAGTGACGTGAAGAAAATGAGTGCGCTGAGCGGGATTGTTGAACAGCTTGGGTTTCAAAGGCGAAAGGTGAGGGGTTCCTGGGCGTGATCCCTGCCTCATAATTAGCAGTGTTTTGGAGATTGTGTTGCAAGCATGAGAGACGCGCCACTTAGCGGTGCCGCCCTTGGCTTGGAGTGCTCCAGAGCTCCGCCGCCACCATCCGCCTGTGCTCAGAGTCTCGGGGAAACACCAGCCAGCCGCCCGCGACCATAACTCTGGCTCTTGCCTAAGATGCACATCCTGCCTCGTATCAGATCGCGTCTGCTGCTCGTGCACCCTGACGTGCTCCCAGGCCTCTAAGATGATGTACAGGCCCGCTGAGACCGTGAAGCCTCCGTCACGGAGTGAGGAGGCAGCTTGAAAGTGCTTTGATGGGCCAGCTGCACAGGGCCCAGCCAGCCGCCATGAACGCCGCTTTGCGACGACGTCGCCCTTCGTGGCAAAGAGCTCGGAGTGGGAGGTGAATATTCCGTTCTTGGTATGAACCTGAGCCACTACTAGCGTGTGCCCGAGGTTGGCCGCAGTGGTCGCAGCCGTGCTGCTAAGCAGTTGGCAAGGTTGCTTGCGTGGAGCGAAAGATGCAACTGCTCCGGTAAAGACAAGAAGACCAACCCGAGTACGTAGTCCGCAGACTTCGACCCAGTCCTCTGTCAATGTGATGAGAATTTCATGTAAATTCTAGCAGTCCCTTTCGGATTTTGTCAGTCAGAGCCCTCGCGCTCGCCGCATCCGCGACGATCCAGCACGAAGGTTTCTCTTTCCTCGGCTCAATGCCCACGGGACAGCAGGCGCGGGCAGGGCACAAGCAGGGGAGTTGTTCACTTGCGTTCACGCCAGGCGCACAAGACGGCTCGGCAAGCCTCCGTGGTTGACAGCCTCAAGAACCCGGCCTGGGCCGTGTGGTTGTCGGCTGGATCCTGCTCTCGGCACTTTCTGTCCGTTGATTAACGTGGAAGAAGGTCAAGACAGTGTCTGAGACTATTGACGAGTTCTACAAGGCGGCTTGTTGGCAGTGCCGTGGGGAGAAATCAGGACGTATCAGGTGGAAGGCAGAGCGCAGTGTTTTGCTGGGACGTTTCCCTGGTCACAGGGTTACCCGAAGCCGCCGGTGCTCCCGATGAGCCCTGGCTGCATCAGCGTGTTGAAGCGGGGAATGCCTATGAGCACATAAAGGCCATTGATGGCTTTGACCTGCTGAGGTACAGGAGTTTCCTGGTTGATTTCATCACTCAAGTGGCCCCGCCCTCTGTGTGGAAGACACACACACACAGACACACAGACTCCCGCCCCACCCCACCGCACCCCCACACACACGCACGCGCATGCGCGCGGACAGACAGCCAGACTGACAGACAGACGGACAGACACTGGCTGTCCGTCGGTTGGCGATCAGGGAGAAGCCTTGCAGCGCCTTCTTTCCATGCAGATGGCAGAACGTTCAGATACATTCAGAAGGTCATGCTTCTGTTTCCTGAACCCTTCCCAATACTCGCTGATGCTGTCAGCACCTGACCATGGTGGACTCCCGTTTCAAGTACGACGCAATCTTTGGACTTGGGATGAGGCCCCTGTCGTGCCGGAGTTCCTGCTGCGTTTGAGTGCGTTCAAGCGACTGGCACCCTGGCCTGCTGTGAGCTTGGAGGCACTTCTACAGCGGGCTCATGGGCAACTACGACAAGCTTGTCATGAGTTCGAGCCTTCGGTAAGCGAATCCGGTCGGAGCAGCTCGGCAGCGCCCAGGTGAGGAGTCAGAGAAGATTTGGAAGGCCTTGAACACCGCCATGGGAATGAAGCCGGACCAGGTGGCCCGGTCGTGGCAGCAAAAACGCAGAGATTTCAGAACCCACGAGAGGTCACTGCTGACGCAGAAGCTGTTGCCAAGTATGCCAGCCGCGGCCACAGCAGGTGTATTCCGTTATATCATGGAAGGTTCTTCAACCTAAGTCGTAGTCTTAGGCTCGACTTCGCCAGCTGAAATCCTGCAGCACATGGAGGCTGTCCCACGCACTGATTTCAGCCCCAGTCTGTCGCTCGAGATGCCTGCTGGCCAGAAAATGCGCTAGGGCACGGCCAAGCCTTCCGATGCCAAGATCGGCACTGCGTTCGAGCAGATCCAGCCAGTGGCCTGCGGATGCCTGCGGCGCTAAGCGATGTTCGTAGATGCTGCAGTTCTGGCCTGCAGAGGTCTTCGCTCTACAGCATGACCTACAGCATTGGCTTGTTCCGCATCATGGAACTGAGCTGCAGCCTTCGACCGTGGACTGTTGTTCGGGTGATGCTTCTGGATGTAATGGATCCAAGGTGGCGTGGAGGTCAACAAGGCCAATGCAGAGGAGTGGGCAAAGGCCCTGAAGATTGAGCCTGCGTCGTGCGCTCACAGCACTTCGTTTTGCCGGTACACATCGGCGAGATGTCAAGCCGATCAAGAAATAAGGTCCAAGGTCACTTCTGACCTTGAAACATACAAGTCATGCCGGCCAGATTACAGATGCAAGCGTCACGCACGGACCGAAGAGCCCAAACGACGTCCACCCTCAGCTTGAAAGCGGTCGCACCTTTGGCCTCAAAGCTGCGGCCAGGCAGAATCAGGTGAAACTCCAGAAGGCCGAGGAAATGATTCGAGAGGCGCCCCGGCATGAAAGCTTGCTACCTTCACGCCGTACATGAAGTTCTCGATCGTGGATTTTACCAGCCTCTGGTGGTAGCTCATTAGCACCACGCGCCGAGATTGAGATCCGAGAGAAGAAGAAGCTGGCCGAGAAGTTCGGGCTTTAGTGCCTGTTCGTTGTGACCCTCTGGGACTGTTGTTGGAAAACGTGTTGCAAGCGTGTTATTTTTATGTGCAGACTTTCCCACTGAGCGGGTCTCTTTCGTTGTGGTAACTTGCAGGAAGTCGTTGCCGAGGCTGGAGGAGAAGGCGAAAGCGCTGGCAGAGAAGGCAGCTGCGAAGACTTCGGGTGGCGAGGACATAATCACGCAGACCGCTTCTCGATGAAGACTCATGAAGACTCCGCAGTAACTTCAGCTGTTATAGCTGTTCAAGGCCTCAAATTGAATGGTAGGAACTACCATGCCTTGCCGTGGCGTGCCTTCATGAGTCATGAAAGCAATCTCTTCCCGAGCTCGCGAGACGGGTCATCCCTGCCCCGCCATGGCCTAATTTCTCCCGCATAGACCAACCAGTTGAAACCAATGTGTCAAGAAGAGATGGCAGGGAGTTGAGTGAAAAGTTGTGTGTGACAGAGCTTAATTTCCGTGATATCAGCTCAAACACCACTAGGACATGTTACGGAACTGTCAGGTCAGCGTTCGGATGTACAGCCTGATCCCGCCAGTAGCCACGAGCCAGATGCCTCCCCATCCCTTCTAGACTTGAGCTTTCGTAGCCACCTCTCAAGTTGCAGATGGCCGTGGTTGTGCAGGAGTCCACGTGAAGCTGCTCTGGAACATAGCACCAGCTAGCGACGAGATGTGGGGTGGATGCGCTATGTTTGCCGAAGCCCGTAGCTGCCGTAGCTGTCAACGGGTGTGGGGACGGGTGTAGCTGTGTCTAGGCGGATTCAAGGTTGCAGCAGGGCAGATCACAGCAGGGAAAGGAAGACTGAGCGAATCAAGCCCTAGCTTTTGCCACAGCTGTTGCAGCTTGGTGTCCGTGTTTGTGGTGGGCAAGCCATGCAGTGTAGCGAGACGATGCCAAGGTCGAGTTTCAACGAAGTTGATGTAGGAATCTACAACGGCTGTGGCAATCAGAAAATCGGAATTCTGGATTATGATAAAGACCCATTTTCGCACGGCATATGCCTGCTTTCTTGAAACGCAGGGCCTTGTGTTTCTTCCACGCGGGCCACTAGTATTTCAAACGTGGCCCGGAAGATGACCCCTGCGTCTTTTTCACGGAGTCGGTAGTCCACTGTTCAGGCTTTGAGGCCAGGCGAAACTGGTCGCCTGGGGCGGCTTTGGACGACGAGTAGTACAGAGTTGAGCAAATATGGCGCCTTACGCAATTTCAATCATGACACGTAGCTCAAGCGTTCAAGACAATCGCATAATCATGTTTGGACCTTGTGTCATTGCTGCCCGCTTGTTCGGGGCGCGGTCAACTTGACCCAGACTGTGAGGCAAACGATGCCCCGGTAGCACAGACGCCTGCAAACTCGCATGCATGGACTCGAAAACTTGTGTATTGTGTTCTCGTCAGTGCATGACTGGCAATGGTTTTGAGAGGAGCCTGCAGTATCTGCAGCACCGGCAGCATGAGTGACGCGTAGTCGCGGGATGTCGCGGGGCGCGGGCGTGATAGTCCGTGCAGCTTTCGGACCCGTGGCTTCTGAGCTCAGCTCGGTTTAGGCTCAGAGCGCTTCCGCTTAGAGTGATACAGCTGCCAGAGCCGCAGCGAGGCAAGTCCGCAGGCAGGGTGCCGCGGTCGCTGCCGGAAATTGACTGCAGCTCGGGATCTTTGCTATATCAATGAATCAGGAGTTTGCGGCAGATGGCTGCGATGGCCACCACAGCAGTGGCTGGCCGCCTCTTCAGCATTTCTGGGACAGAAGCCGATGAGGGTCCTTCTGTTAGCATGCTTTTGCCCAAGGTGGGAGCGTGCGCCACTCAGATTTTCCCAGAAAGCAATCACCAGCGATGCATCAAGAATCTGAATCATAATCATCAGTAAAGTTCGTGGTTACTTCCACCAAGGAGGCAGCAGAAGGGTACACGGTGATCTCTCAAGAGGAGTCTGCGAGCCAGAGCTGCCATACCAGTCACAGTCCGAAGGGGATGTCCAAGAAAGGTTCATCTTGACAGAATGGTGCGGTCAGATACCGCATGTAGTTCTGTGATGGTAATGCCAGAAGCGAATCCAGGAGTACGCACAGCTTATGGCTGGCACAGCTCCGGCGCGGCCCCTAGCCGAGCCGCAACAAACTCACAGTCTGCAAAGAAGCAAGGAGGGACCAAAGTGCTTGTCTGCAAGGTTTTAATGCAGTCTTCTTCAGACATGCTCGGCAGGCTGCGACAACTGGAATGGTGACAACATCGGTCCCGATCACAGCCTATCCCTACACCAGCACAAACGCCTACACGAGCCTCGGCCTCACATACTCCAAGTGTTTGGGACGAAGGCTTCCTGCCCTGCTTGATCCCACCCTGGTCCGTTGCACAAGAGCAGTCTTGTGAGTGGTAAGACTGTTTGGGGTAACTGAGGACGGTCACAACAAGCTATCCGAATTATCCAATCACGAGCAGTCCGGCTGTCCAATACGCAGCCTCTCCTCTTCCCGCGTCCTACACGGCTCAGAACTCAGCCAAGACGTAGCTGACGTAGCTGCAGGTCATCGGAGGCAAGTACTGAACTGGGCAGTGGGAGTGCTGGTAAGTAATGCCAGGTCATACCAGGTCCGGGTCAGCAATCGCTCGTAGAACTCTTCCGTGGCTATCTGCATCTCCAGGTGTTGGGGATGGGGTGATGGGGTCGACTCGGGCAGACCCCATGTTGCATTGTCGAGGGCCCCAACTTAGGAGGCGCCCCATGAATTCCTTCATGCTACGAAGAAAGATGAAGCAACAAGGAGGCAAGATGGAAAGAAAGAAAGAAAGAGATATATATATAGAGAGAGAGAGACAGAGAGGCATTTTGGCTCAAGTGGTCCAAGGACGTGGGGGCCTCTCTGCCCTCCCTTCTGTCTCGATCCTTTCTTCTTCGGGGCCCCCCGATCCTCAACCGGGGCGCTTGCACCTCTCTTGCCTGTGCCGCCTCTCTCTTTGCCATTGCAGTGCACCAAGAGGGTGAAGTGTGCGCCCTTCCAGCCGGAGGTTTCTGCCGGGGACCTAGTTGTGCATCGCTCCTGTACGGCGGCCGTGCCCTGCTCCTTCTGCACTTTGACAACCCTCGATCTCTTCGGGGTCGGCGAGCCTACTCATTGAGCCTTTCTTTGTTGCGAGCCTGCCCTTTATCGCGATGACGGACAGCCTCAGACAGGGGGGCATGGGACCGCCTTCCGAATCACCCCCAAAGAAGAGAGCAGTGCACGATGAAGGACTCAGCTTGGAAGCCATTCGCGACGTGGTCAGGGGAGAAATCCAGGGGGCTGTCACAGGGCTTTCTGACCGAGTTGCAGCAGTGGAGCGTAATCTCCAGCAGCACAATGATCGCACCTTCCAGGCCGTCGAAACCCTCTCGACAAGCCAAGCCGAGCAAGCCCTACGCATCGCAGACATCGCCAATGACACCAAGACCATGGCGGGGAGAATCAGCTTCCTCGAGAACACCGTTAAAGGTGTCCAAGCTTCGGGGAGCACCCCGTCTACAGCAGACTCTGGAAGAGTTCCGGCCCTCATTATGGGAGGTTGGCCTCCCGAGACCCAAGCCAGCGAGGTCCTCCAGAAAGCGAATGAGATGGCACGGGATCTGCAGCTACAACTCAACATGACGGACGCTTTCGTGCCGGGAGTTCGACGTGGGTTTGTCTTGATACCCACAACACCTAATGATGGAGAGAGTGATGAAGCCATGCGCCAGCGAATGCAGCTCTGCATCCGGCGGGTGGCCGCCGCCAACGTAACGCTGGGCCGCAAACCCGACGGCAACATGGCCCGACTATGGCTTACAATCAGTCAACCGCCCGAGAGACGACGCAGAGCAGCACTGGCCGGGAAAGTCAAGCGCTTGATCATCGAAGCAGGTGGTTCTTCTACCTTGCCCCAGATTGAGCCTGAATGGGCGACCGGGACCGTCTGGTTCCGAGACAACAAGGTCAGCTCCGGTTCGTCGTCATGCCCCTCAAATGCGGAGACAGCAGGATGCGGCTGGATTGATCTCAAAGCCATTGCAAAGCTGCTTGGTGTCCCGATAGGACAGTTGGAGAAAACCTGGGAGCCCCTACTAGGGGCCCTCCGGTGACTAGACGCTGAGTTCGCTGAAGATGATGACAGGGGGACAACCCCACCGTCTCACTCACTGCGCGCTGTGGGCAAGCCTCAAGACGAAGCTGCCGCCTTGCACTGTGCAACCTGGAATGTCGGGGGGATGAGCCCGGAGAAAACTCTGGACTTCCTCTCCAACTTTCGGGGTACACCCGAACTGCAGAGCCTTCAGATTGTGCTTCTCCAAGAGATCACGACCACAGGAGGGCCCAACTTTGACCAGAACGACACGTGGATGCTGATCCACGGAAAGCTGACAAATGAGTGGAGAGGATGCGCTATTGCATTTCTTAAAGTCTTAGGTACCCATGAGCACACCCGCATTCATAAAGCTGCCATCACTATGACTTTGCGCAGTCCCGACAATCGCACCCTTGGCGTTGTCTCGGGGCACATATCCCATAAGTTCACCATAGCCCAGACCGCTTCATGCCTCGCCGACTGGGACTCATCCCCCAGCCTTGCCCTTGACAGGATCTTGCTGGGGATGGACGCCAATGAAACCTTCCTGCAACCCGGGGGTCACCTCGGTAGGAGCACCCTTTCCTGTACAGGCAGAGGGGATCCTTCAGTGGTGTCTTGAACAAAGTCTCGTCCTCCCTGCACAGAACGTGGAGCAGCCTTCCTACTTTCCATATAACACGTCCATGTCCCCCCGCAGACTTGACTATGTCGCCACGCGTGGCGTTCACACGCTGCGGGCTTGGGTCGGTCAACACAGAGACAGGGCCAGCTCCGACCACGAACCCATCCTATGTTGCCTACGACTCCCCCTGAAGCAGCAACCGAAGCTAGGGGTCCTCTGGTGCGCTCGTCAGCTCGCCTCTGGAGCGGAGTCCATTTTAGACAAGCATGACCCCCTGGAGGCGGACCCGCATGCATCTATCGCCAATGCAGCTAAGCTCATCACGGTGCCGGTGCACCGGTCCCTCAAGTTCAGAGAGAGTAGCGCACTTAAGCAGCTGCGACGAGAAGCTAAGGAGTTCGCACCGGGGATGCAAGCCCGCCAGGCCTGGAAGCCCGTGCATAAATCACTTCAGCAGGAACGTGTAAGGTTTGGAAGCGTCAACTGGCTGACAAAGCCGGTGAACATCACTGGGACGCCCTCCGATCGCTTAAGAAGAAAGACTCCAAAACCAACTGGGCCGACGCCCTGCTCGATGACCCGGCCTGGTCAGCTCAGCTTGAAGCACACATGCGGAAAATTTTCTGCAAAGCTGCCCCAGAAACAACTAGGAGCGCCATGGCTCTCCTGCATGCAGAAGCCTCTGCCCTCTGCAAACGCACGCCGTGGCGCCCTTTCACTGAGGCTGAAATGCGAATTACCATGGCAGGATGGAAAAATCACCGAGCCACAGGTCCCGACGGTGTTGCACTTGAGGCCTTACGACTTATGTTCGAGCATCCCGTGTGGCGCCCCAGGATCGCAGAGCTGTTGAATGATGGGCTATATAAAGGCCAGCTCCCTCATTTGATCATGCAGGGGGCCTCGGTCCTCTTGCCTAAGTGCGTCCAACCACTCACGTGGTCCGACACCAGGCCGATCACGCTTTCCAGCGCGTTGCTCAAGTGGACGTCACAGCTGCTCCTACTCAGGGGAGTTCCCCTTCTGCAACAGTGCTGCCACCACCAGTGGGCTAGCAGAGGCAAACAGGGGGTAGAACTCATCCTCTCCCTACGGAAACTCGCGAGAGTTGCCCATGAGTGGCATACTCCTTTCTACATAGTCAAGATCGACATTGCCAAAGCCTTTGATTCTGTAGCTCAGGAAGAACTAGGAGATCTAGTCATGCGCCGCATCGCCAAGCAGGGCGGTATGCCTTGGGAAGCCAAGCTATGGTTTAGTCTCCTTGAAGCCCGCGAACTCCAGTTCTATGTGCATAAACATCAGGTGTGCATCGAGCAATCAAACGGGGTGAGGCAAGGCAGCCCCGACAGTCCAGTCTTGTTTGCAGCAGAGATCGGGGAGATCCTCGACGCTACCCTAATTTCAGTGAACCAGGGGTCGCCCCCCCATGTTGGCAGACATGCGGCCCTCAGTCCACCCCCGCACTCCGGAGCTGCGTTCATGGATGATACTTCCTACGTTCAACAGATCCTTGCCGAGCTAGAACGCCGCTTGTTAGAGATTGGCCTTAGAATAAATGCCAAAAAGACCCAAGTCATCTCTAACCAGAAGAACGACCCTTTTCGTTTCGAGATCGGAGGCCACTCCGTCAAGCCAGGCGGCCCAGATGACATTATGGTCATCCTCGGTGCTCCTGTCTCCATGTCTGGGGAAATGTCCCCCATTGTAGCGGAGATGCAGGCCCGTGCGCGCAGAGCTTTTCACCAACATAAACATGTGTTATGTTCACGTGCACCCCTCCGTGACCGCTTGTTGCTGCACCAAAGCCTCGTCCGTGGCGCTGCACTCTGGGGATGTGCTGCGTGGCCCATCAACAAGGCCCTCGCCCAATCGGCCAATAGCGCGCAGCTCCTCCAAGTGAGAACGATGACAACGGGGAAGCGCCCCGCCACTGAAGCTTGGCATTCCTGGCACGTCCGCACTATGCGCAGGGCGAGAGCCCTCCTTCACCAGCACAAAATCCTCCGTTGGTCTACCCATGCCCTCCAGATGCAATGGGGCTTGTGGGGGCACATTGCCAGAGCTCCGTCCCAGCCGACTTTTCACATCCTCAGGTGGCGAGATATGGCGTGGTGGAGAGATGAGCAAGCAAAGATCCCGGGGCCATATCCCCGAGGCGTCCGACACAAAGGCCACCATAATCCCGATCGGGACCCCGAGCGACACATCATTACCATAGCTGGTGCACAATGGTGGGTTACCGCGTCAGACAGAAACACCTGGAACAGGTTACAACAGGCATTCCTCGATGCCTTCGACCCTCCTTGGGCAAGCGGAGCCCAGTTAACCTTGCCAGGGGCGCTTAACCTTGCCCCTAACTCCTCCCGACGGAGTGGGTATAGGCCCCATTATTCATCTGCTGACGATGAAGCCTTAGCCATTGTCGTGGCTCCTCGCTGGGGTACTGGTCCATGACATAGCAGTTGATGCCTTGACGTGCAAACTTCTGCCCTACACTCCCCCCCCCCCCTTTTTGTTTTGGTTGCCTTTGTGGTTTAGTCCCTCGGCCCATAGTTGCAGTTGGCGGTTGCACAGGGGACGCTCTCCTTTCAAGCCATGTCCCAGCCGTCATGCATATATTACATTGCACAGTGTCGAGAGAGGATGTCCTGCTGAGTGGAACGGGGACGCGAGCCTCGGCACGGCACTGCAGTGCCTCACCTTCCGCGAAGGAGGTGTCGCCAGCATCACAGAAGCGCTTACTGAGACCCTCCATGCCACAAGCCGCGCTAGTGGACAAATGAACCTGCTCCTGGGCTGGATCCAGACGAAGTTTGGGGCAAGTAAAAGGCCTCAAGAAGGATCGGGGAGTCCCTCTCCGAAGAAGCGCAGAACGGATGAGCAACCATCGGGGAGTAGCCAAGCTCCTCGTTTTCTACCGGGACGCCACGAACCAGACCTACCTGCGCAAGATCCTGCTGAACTACACGATCGCCGTCATGCTCGACCGCAAGCTGCAAGGCGAGGGGATGCAAGACATGCCGGGGAGGTCGGCCCCTACAACATCCTCCGCGCACAACAACTCCTCGAGCAGGTCCTTCCCTTTGTCGAACACCAAAGAGCAGTCATTATTCAACAAGCTCATAGTCTGCTGTTTCAATGGACGACAGCATTGTGGGGAACGCCCATTGTCCTCACCGCGGGTGATAGTCCCACTCTACCAGATGGATCTCTACAAGATGGGGGACTACCCTCCTCGGTGGCGGAGTCTGAAGCTAGCACGGTGCTGATCCAGACCCAGGATTTCCGACCTGGCGAGCTCTATGGCATCGAAGGGGGAGCAACCCCTGGTGCCACCTCCCACCGGCGCCGACGTCTTCATGCAGCCATGGACGATGCTGAGTCCCATGACGATTGACTGCCGGGGACACCCGCTGGACAACGCCAAGCATGAGCCCTCCTGAGAGCCGCTGTGAAAAGTTGATGAACCGGGACACAGCCTCTCCATTCCCACAATTAAGGGGAGGACCCCTCCTTTCTGTTCAGGTTTCTTGACTTCAGAAGGTTCCCTGGGCTTGGGGTTTTTCTTTGTGGCTTTGACTCATTTTTCCCCCCTCCTCGTTGTCGACTTCGCAAGTGAGACAATTGGGGCAAAGGAGAGTGCTGTTCATGTGCAGAGGCTCCTTGAAGGTAGCAGGGACTGGGCAGCCCTTGTTTAGTTTCTGTTGTTTTCGTTGTAGTTCACGCTTGGTGCTTCTTGGTGCCCAGCCCACTTCTGTGAAATCAAAGAGCCTTAAGTAGTCCACATTCTGATCTCATGACGCCGTGTTCTCTGAACCGGGGAATACCCCTAGGACATTCTGTTCAGGTTTGTTGTCTTTGGTAGGTTCCCGGGGGTTTTGTTTGCAGGGTGTCTTAATTTCCGCTTTGCACTTCAGCTGGACAGAATGGGAGAATTTCAGGGCGCATGAGCTGGATGCTCTCAATGTCGAGACAGGGGAACAACCTCTCCTCCTCTTTCGGTGAAGTTCGGTCCTGGTTTTCATATTTCCCTGAGCTTCACACTGGTGATGTTCAGGCCTTTCCCCTTCTAGAAGGCATAGCCGAAAGAGACGGGATGGCATGCCATCCCACTGACAGACCATGCCTACAAAGTGCAGTCGGAGCGCATTGAACTGTATTACTGTCTACTTTGGTGCTGTACCTGCTGGTTGCGCATCCTTCTTGCGCGAGCCGCCTCTGCCTTGGTAGTGCATGAGGATCTCACCTTTCGCTCCCCACATGTCGGGGGCGCTAAGGCGCGCGGGCGAGGGGGGCTTGTTCCCCTTGTCCCTAGCCCTGGCGAAAGAAAGAGAGACAGAGAGAGAGGGGAGGGGGGTGTCCGCGAATTTCCTCTTGCCTGGTAGAGAGAGAGAGAGAGAGAGAGAGAGAGAGAGAGTAGGGGG